AAAGATCCAGTGAGGAGACAGAAGAAGAACCTTCGTCTTCAAAGAAAAAGAAGGCTGCATTTAACAGACAATTCCAGGAGTCCTACTTGAAAAATGGATTAATTGCGACCATGTACCGAGCCCGCACTGCGTAATACACCGCGAGTGGTTCTCTAATGAGACAACGAAGCCTTCAAAACTTGTTCTGCATTAAAACATAAGCACGATGTTACGAGGACGCTGCTAATAACGTTTAGCATTATATCTAGAAAATACCATTTATTTAGTTGTATTTATTCACCAAACCTTAAAGACCGGTCCGTGAAAAAATGTTCAGACATTTAAACGGTCCGTGGCGCAAAAAAAAACGTTCAGGTGTTTAAACAAAACGTGGGAGGAACTTCCTCCACACAAACAGTGTTTTACAGAGTTTCTGTAAAGAAAGGAACTCTTTCCAGTTAATATATTGATATTATTGTTAAATATATTCACAGTTAGTGAGGTGAATCAGACCAGACCAGTTTGACTTTTAATGAGAGGAGAGAAACGGTGATGTGCAGTGTTTCTGGAAAGAAATGTGCATGTTTTTTTGTGTTCTGTTGTTTAAGATCATTTCAGTTTATGAGGTAGAAAAGACTATTCCAGTTGGTAATGGTACTCTTACAAAAAGTTCTTACAAATAAGGGATCACTGTACTGGGTCGTAATTTGTCTGGAGCTCATTTTGTTTAAAAATAATCGTATGAAATCGATTATTAAAAAGAAAAACGCGGCTCATATCGTTTTGTGAGTCGAGTGTATCGTTACATACCAAATCATGATTAATCCTAATTTAATATTATCTTACTGGAAACTGTGTAGGAAATGCTGTGTAAATGATTCAATCTTTGATATTCAGGGCTGTCAAGATTACTCAGTTAATCTGTGACCGAGCAGCCAATTAATCTGTTGACAAATCTTCTCGTTTATGGTACGGATAAAGGCTGAGGGTCATGTAAACACTGAGGCATCAAAGTGTGCATTCATGAACATCATCGATCCACATACAGAGGATGTGGCGCCATTACTGAGAGTGTTGCACTTCCCAACTTTCTCTGTTGAACTTAATTGATTTTTATTTGACAACAGTTCCCCATTCCATTAAGTGCAGTGTGTGTGTGTACCACAAGTACAGGCTGGAAACTGCAGACTACCGCTGTTTTAGTGGAGTCTTATATTGGTTGAAGGTGTGTGTGTGTGTGTTTGTTACTGTTACAACACATTACCCTCCTTATCAGCGCTGATTAGTTGGCCTAAAAATCAGCGCGGGAGGAAAGACGCTTCTTTAGGGAGCTTGTGGAGTCAGCTGGTGCATCTTTGTCGTATCGTCATGAGGAGTATGGCTGAGGGCCATCTCGGCAGTCTGGGTCCGTCTGTGCGTGTGAATTATTGATGTAAACCAGGGACTGTGACATTTCCACATCCTGCATGAATTACAGTTGCTGATTTCCCTCACAGGTTGAGGCAATCTTAATTTTTAATTTCTGTGTGTATACAACTTGACGAGACGCAGAAGATGTGTTTTCACGAGCTCCGTGATGCATATGCCAGTTCACAGTTCACAAGAACCAGAGCAGCCGCCTCGGGGCTCCTCGGTGTCTTAGTCTGATGTGTTTTAACGTTGAAATGATGAAGTTTTCAAGATGGGCCGTCCTTGTGCAGCACGTTCAAGTGCTGCGCTAATGTCTTTACCTATCTGTTTTCTCCTCTCTGTCTTTGGTTACAATGAGCTCTGAGCCTCATTGGAAGACGTCGACCTTGACTGTCAGCAACTCAGGGAAACACAGACCGATTGACGAAAAGACGAGATGAACCGTTTTGAGATGTAGTGTTTACCTGAAAACTGCAGAGGATCCAGGCACGTCCAAGGTCACCAACGCTGCTGCTGCTGCTGCTGCTGCTGCTGCTGCTGCCGCGCTTCACTCCAAGCAGCCGGCACTATCTCCTGGTTACCACAGCAACTCTGACTACTGGCCTCCGGTAGTCAGTCACCACATTATCAGCACACATACACAGATGGCATGCAGGGGTGGTTATGGTACACCCGGCCACTGAAGGTATCACCCACTCATATGGTATTCCCACATTTGTGTTTAATACACACAGTCACCCTCAGCCACCGTCACTAACATCTTCTCTTCTCTTCGTCCCTTTCTCGTCACATGTTCGGATTTCTCTCGGGTAAAAACGGTCCTTTGGTGCTTTGGATCCAAATAGACTTTAAAATGAATTGTTCTCAGAAAGAAATTGGTTTTATTTTGAAGTGGAAAGCAGTTTGGAGTCTCGTGAGGGAAATCAGCGGACAGCAGTCAGGTGTCGGAGTAATAGACCTTTTATTTCCCCTTATCACTATTGTCAAAAAAGTGCAGTTGTGGTTTTTCACATTTTCTCTGTGTGTAACGGCACTGGGAGAAGGACCTCAGTGGTGTTTCATTGATTTTATTTGGATGCTGCTCTAGACTCACTGCACATAAGCAGTTTTTGCGACCTGGGCTGTTGAATTACTTTTTTTCCTCTCACTTGAAAGGTCACGGCGTGTCGACTATCAGCGTGGTGTTTATCACATTTCTTCAATTTGTGCCTTGAAAGCTCCGCCAGAGCCAGTCAACAGGACCAGTCATCGTGATTCACGTTCTCCACGTCCACAGCTCACATCACGCCAACTCTTCTGATATGAGCCACGGCTGCAGCATTCCTCTCTGCGTCGTGCATCTGCTGTTTGTGATATCTGACTAATGTGTTATGATGCACTCACATTTGATTCGTGTGTCACTGCTGTGATAAATGCCCCTCCATGTGTTCCCAGGGTCGTAACAAGGCACTTGGGCAAGATATGAGCCTGCAACCTTTTCATGAAAGGCCCCTCTGGATGTGGTCATTTGTGCCACTCTCTTGTAATGGAGCCTTATCTCCTTTGTAAGCTGTGGTTGTGGACAAAGGGTGTCTCTAAGAGTCGTTTGGGTTATTACGTCTCCACGGCTGTTCCCATTCTAACCACCAACGCTCTCTGCTTTCCTTTCGCTGCTACATTATGTGGATGTCAAATATTTGAAGGTGAATAGTAGGTTGTTATGATGCAGGATGTAGTGGATCTTTTCAACTAACATCCTATTTTGGACCGCCGCCATGATTCCCCATTCCCTAATGTCGAAGATTTGATTACACATCCATTAGTTCAGCGGCAATCATGTCTTTGCCAATAGGTCAACTCTTCCTGCTGTGGTCAACCGTCCAGGAGCCAGGAGGCAGCATGTACTGTGTATGTACTCTGAAGTACATAAATGTCAAAGGGTCTACGTGTTGGTTAGGTTCCCGTGGAAAAGATGAAACAATGACTTGGATGATTTGATCAAAGCAGAATCAGGAAGTGACTCAGTGACTCATCCTTCCCCTCTTTCTTGGGCCTGAAATTGAAGGCCCCAAAAACGCATGCTAGAGCAATGATACGTGAAGAGAGATTACTGGATAAGCAGTGCACATCATTCTGACCATGTGTTAAAATACAGTACGTTATACATTTTAATCTGATTTTTTTTGTGATTTTTCAGTGTGTGCAAATGAGGACATGTATATTAACTGTAATAGACCGGATGGTGGTGGAATTATTATTATAATTTTCCGTGCATTCAAATGTGCTTTAATCTCATCATTTTCATTAATTACCATGATTCACACTTATTTGT